CAATGCTGAGACCGGCGCTCCAGTTCCGCTTCAATGTGTCCAAACATATGGCACCCGTTTGGCTGACGTTTGGGTGAAATATGGTTGTTGTGAAACTGATTTGTGGTGCACTCAGCGGGTAATTGGCCGGGAATGTGATTTTCACATTAAACAGTCCGCCCTCGTAGGGGGTGTCCGGCGGACCCTCAATACTGCCCGACCACTGGAAATAGTCGGTGCCATTGGGTGCGGCCGTACAGCCCGGCGGCGGATCTCTTTGAAGTTCTGTCAACTCTTTGTGGATCCGCTTTAAAGCCATTGTATCGCCCGATGGAGTGCTCTCTGAAAACTGTCTTCGGATTACTGTTTTTGGACACAAATTAAGCGCTCGTTTTGTGTCTTGACCTTTGTTTGTAACCACTTTTTGGTTAACTTTAACTGTTTTTAAAAATAATTTATCAAAAATGAAATTTAAAAATACGATAAAATACTATTATTTAAAACAATTATAAATCAAAAATTTGTTTGTTGTTTATCAAATAATACTTTTAAAATTTAAATTCGCTTAAATGTCTGATAGGCAACAAGAGTTGACCCATAGGGGAGGAATGGGTCGCCCCCTGACGCCCGGCACTCGGGCTCCATTAAGGCGTGGATTATCACAAGAGGTTAATCTAATGGACTTATCTATGGATGAACTCTCACAACTATATCCGGTAACCCCAGTGGACAATACGGGAGTCATAGCATTCACACCACTTACTGCGCCCGATGTGGACAAACCAATGGAGGCGTCGACTCAAGTAAATCCCATTAGTTCTCAACCCGAATACCACATAACACCGGCTCCGATGCGACCCAACAGAGACCCGACAAGTTTGGCGACGGGTGGCGCCCCTTACGGAAGCCCTATACCCAGCACTTCACCCAAATATCGTCTCAAAAAGGCGTTCAAGTTATTACCCGTAGGCCTAGAGCCTGAAGGCAAGATTGGCAGCACATCCGCCGAAGTCTATTTGCCCAGTCGTGAAGAGATGGGCGCTCCGGGAGGGTCTTCCTTAGGGCACAACGAAGTGCGGGACAAAACCCTTAGAGATTTACAAACGCTGAGAGGGAAGGGCTTTGATATACAACTCGATAAAAATGGTGTATTGGGAGAAGGTGGCTACGGCACCGTTTACAAAGGTGTTTACACTGAGCATGTAAGTTTTTTTTAAAATTAATAAATGATTTTTTATGATTTACATTATATACATCATAGATTGGCGAACTGAGCGGCCGTTCCGGCACTCGCATAGGACAAGTAAAGCCCGGCCAGCGATTTGCCGCCAAATACGTGCAGTTTGTGTCGACAACTGTCCCAATGTTTCGTCTCTATCACGAGACAGAGAGACAGCTATTGAAAGCACTCAAACATCAAAATATTGTAACGTTTAAAATGGCCATCAATTTGGGTAAAAAACGGTATTTGATTAACAATATTGACCGAAATGTGCGGCCAATCGTCTCGTATGACCGCATGTTTTTGGTGATGGAGTGCGCGGAGTGTAGTCTTTACAAGTTTGGCACAGATCGCAGACTCACCGATCGGTTGGCCATCAAATTTGCACAGGATTTGTGCTCAGGTATGTCTGATAACATAATACTGGTTAAAAACATGAAATATTTACCATCATTTTTTAATTGACACGAATTAGGCCTAATCTACATGCATGACAACGGTGTGATTCACCAGGATATACACGCGGGCAACGCTCTGGTGTTTTGCGTTGGCCTTAAAGCCGATGATTTTGTGGCCAAATGGACAGACTTCGGGACCGGTGTATCGGTTGATCTCTTTAAACGCTGGGCCGTTACTATTGGTCGAAATGAGTTCAATCACATCAAAGTGGATGATATCAATTGTATGGTCGGTGTCATCAAATTCATGGTCTCGTCGGCCAAAGATGCCGGACATAGTGTCCCACATGTGTTGACACAATTGGCCGAAGATATCGCCCGATCGGGAAAATCATTGGCCGAATGTCTTAAAGATTTTCAGAAACATTTTTAAATGAAATATATTTTATAACTAATTTTGAAAACGATTAATGTAAAGTTTACCCATTTTTATAGTTTATAATTTTTTATAGGGTTTGTTTGTATAGAATATGTTGTGTCCATAATTCATATTCTTTGTGTTGGAAGTGAAACAAACACTTCACTCATTGATAACGAGATTACGATTATTGTATGACAAGAGATGGTAATAAGTTATAACCATTGAATTGAGGTTTATATCAAGGATTAAAGGGATAGTAGTATGTAATGGGATGTCTTGAGACCCATTAGGGATCATATTTGTGATGCGTTCAGTGTTGCCAAACCCAGCCGTAACCCTACCGGTGCTGACAGTAGTCGCTATAATTTTCACCAATTCTTACAACAGTATGTAATGTTTTGGTGAATGGCATTAGTTGTTAGGCACGGGATATGTAGTGTCTATTTGGTAGTCACCGGGCAGTAGAGGTCCACGGTATGGACAGTATGTGCCCAAAGGGTGACCACTGGATACATTCCCGCAAAGAACATTAGTCGCCATAATTTTCACCAATTCTTACAAATATGTAATTTTTAAAGTAAATTGATTTTCAAATTTTTAACAATTTATTTAATATTGAAATCGTTTTAAAAATAATTTATTCAATATTTGTTAGATTATGAATATATCACACTATTGTACTGTATTTCTATCACTTCCAGAGGGAATTGGTTATAATGTGGCAACTTTAAAATGCATTTAAATTACTTCTATATTACATAGCAATCAATGGATAAAACATGAATCATTTACTAGATGGACATGGTACTTTTTATACACAAAATATTTTATACAAAAATTTTTTGTGCATAATTCCTATTCTTTGTGTTGGAAGCGATTGAAAAGCTTATCACAACCTATGGATCCAATGATAAGTCCATCATTTGCTTCTTAAACCACAGTTCACTCGATGTCTATCTGTAAGAAACCCCAGCACTTGATATCCCTTTCCCGTCCATTGCAAAGCACTCGGTGTCTGTAATACACGGGACGATGACTTCAAGTGCTGCACAACTTATGGATTCAATGTTCAGTCTATTTATCCACTGTTAGGCCACTAACCATGCAATCGATGTCTATTTGTAACCAAAACCACAGCACTTGTGTCCCTATTCCTCATCACTACAAGCGCTCAACGACTGGACCATAACCTCAAGTGCTGTACAACCCATGAAAGCCTCTCCCAAGACATGCCCTCCCAGTCCTCACCCCTTATAAACATGTCATTCCTCTTGCGATGAATCGCTGGTCAAACGACTCATCACTTCGGATGCAATCCATGTCCAGTTCGAGAAGACATCAAATCACTGACACTTGATATCCGGAGTTTGTCTTTCTTTTTGTGTCCAAAACCATGAAATCGATGTCAATCTGTATCTTATTTTAATCACTTCCAGAGTGAATATTTCAAACTGTGACAACTTTTAAACCATTTTATATTACTCTGATATAACATACAAATCAAGGGTAAAAATGTAAAATTACTGGTACATGATTATCATATCTTATTTCAATCACATCCAGAGTGAATATTTCAAACTGTGACAACATTTAAACCATTTTATATTACTCTGATATAACATACAAATCAAGGGTAAAAATGTGAAATAACTGGTATATGATTATCATATAGATACAATTAACTCTGGATGTGATTATACTTTTTATACACAAAATATTTTATACAAACAACCCCTATATATCGTAGTATATGTGGGAATATATATATGAATATTCTGGTCATACGACTTTATACTGTATTTTAATCGCTTCCAACACAAAGAATATGAATTATGGACACAAAATATTCAATACATTGATTGCTATGTAATATACAAGTAATTTAAATGCAGTTTAAAGGCATTACATTAAAAGCTCTTCACTCTGGAAGTGATAGCACAAACATAGTGTTTGTGTAGGAAGTGATTGAAATGCATTATCAGGTCTTATGCCTCAAATGGACAGATAGTTAATGGAAACGCTGTTCGAGAGCACCGGCGACGAGACGGCCGACCACTGGCGGCCATTCGTACGCATATTAGACGTCCAGTTGTTTACGCATAACGTGTGGAATGGTTTAGCGAAGAGTGTCTCAAATCCGACCGAAACTTATGTCCGAAATGTATTCAAACAAGAGATGAAATGAATGGACGGCCGGGTATTCAACGCTTTCCTGGATCTGTACGAAAAGGCCGACCAGAGCTCCGGAAAAGGGATATCAAGTGCTGGGGTTTCTTACAGATAGACATCGAGTGAACTGTGGTTTAAGAAGCAAATGATGGACTTATCATTGGATCCATAGGTTGTGCAGCACTTGAAATCATAGTCCTGTGGATTGCAGACAACGATTAGTCTGTAATCGACTGGAAAGAGATATCAAGTGTTGGGCTTTTCTTACAGATTGGCAACAATTTCATGGTTTTGAACACAAATAGAAAGACAAGTAATGAGTGGTCAGAGAAATGGATGGAAACACGGATATCAAGTGTCAGTGTTTTGATGTCCGTTTGAAGTGGACATGCATTGCATCACAAGTGATGGCCAGAAGACTGGTATTGAGAACCAATGGATTTCAATGTAAAGTTTAAAACTTTTTTACAAAAACTATTTTATCTGAAATGCAAACTCTTTTATGTCCATCACATCCACGGATCAAATGCAGCGACAAATGGGTAAACAAGCGTTTGAAGGATTTGAATAAAAATTTCTTTAATTAAATTTTGTGCATAAATTGTTTTGAAGTTAAAAATTATATTATTTTAAAAATTCAACCAATTGTTTAAAATTTGAGAATCAATTTACTTTAAAAATTACACATTTGTAAGAATTGGTGCAAATTATGGCGACTCTTGTTCTGGGAATGTATGTCTTCGGTGGTCACCCTATGGGGCGATTCTTGTTCACATTTGAACGCCTAATGCTCTGTGACTACCGAATAGACAATACATATACCGTACGAACGACTCATGCCATTCACCAAACATGACACTTATGGCGACTCCTGTTCTGGGAATGTATGTCTTCGGTGGTCACCCTTTGGGCACATACTGTTCATACTGTGAACGTCTACTGCCCGGTGACTACCGAATAGACACTACATATCCCGTGCCTAACAACTCATGCCATTTTCTTGTATTCAAATGTTTAGATGATCTCAAAGAGCGGCGAAAGGAATACACGTTTGGATGCAATCCATCGCAAGAGGAATGACATGTCTATAAGGGGTGAGGACTGGGAGGGCATGTCTTGGGGGAGGCTTTCATGGGTTGTACAGCACGTGAAGTGATAGTCCTGTGGATTGCAGACAACGATTAGTCTGTAATCGACGGGAAAGGGATATCAAGTGTTGGGGTTTTACTTACAGATTGGCAACAATTTCATGGTTTTGGACACAAAAAGAAAGACAAGTAATCACTGGTGAGAGAAATGGATGGGAAAACAGAGGATATCAAGTGTCAGTGTTTTGATGTCCATTCGAAGTAGACATGGATTGCATAAGAAGTGATGGCCAAAAGACTGCTATTGAGAAACAAATATATTTCAATGTAAAGTATAAAACTTTTTTCGTAAATTTTTTATCTGAAATGCAAACACTTTTATGTCCATCACATCTACGGATCAAATGCAGCGATAAATCGGTAAACAATTGTTTTATTAACAAATAATTAACCCATAATTATCATCAAAACATAATTATAATTGTTTTAGTTCCGGACGTTTGGACCATATATTAGGTTTGAACACAAGTGTCAAATGAAATGCCAGGGATTCACCAATTGAACAAACTCTTTGCTTCATAAATGTTAGAAATAATAATTTTATCAGTATTTTTAATTTAATTTTGAATTTTATACAATAAAGTAAATTATATTTGTCTTTATTAAAAACACAAACAAAATCACATTTTGTGAGCAAAATGTCTGGCGGACAGAGACCAGTGCCGAAGAGGCGACGCAGTGATAGTCTTACACCTCCTCCCAGTGCTAACCGCGAGGCCACGGATGAGCGGCACTTTACAAACGCACCCTTAGGGGCAGAGGGAGGGCAAACTCCCTACCCGTCTAATCAACAATCAGTGTCTCAATTCAGTGAATCCGGTGCCGCCTCGACCCTTGCGTCCAGCCGTGAGTTGACTGACTTAGAGAAGTATACACTCGAACTTCAGCAGAGATTCTACCGTAAAGGGCCGGCTACTGACCAAACCGGCGGTGAGTCAAGCAGTTTGGCAACTGGTGGCGCGCAATGGACACAATCATACCCGACACAAGGCTCAGCCGCGCTCACCCCTGCGCCCAATACTGAGTTGACTGAATTAGAGAAGTATACACTTGAACTACAACAGAGATTCACTCGAAACGCGCCGGTTATGAACAAAAGCATTGGCCTATCAAGAGATTTGGCCAGCGGTGGGACACAAACTAGAGGCCAAACAAGCGGTTCGGCCAGCAGTAAAGAGCAATGGAAACAATCATCCGCATACCAGACCTATGAGTCGCGTACAATGGGCCGACCCGTACCACCACTTATGCCAACCGTTGCGCCAAAAGAAAGACTGCAGCGGATGTATGACTTTCATACGTACGGCCAACCGCTCCCGAGACCGGCCGACAGCACGTCATCCGGAGTGCTAAACGTGAAGAGTAGCGAAGATATGGACAAATATAAAGCATATCTCATCAAATCACCGGCCGATCAAAAATTGGCTCTCAATGACAAAACCGCCGGTGATTTAAAAACATTGCGTGAAAATGGATTTGACATTGAATTTAGTGACACCGGACGGCTCGGTCAAGGCTTCTGCGGGGAAGTTTATCGCGGCGTTTTTAACGACGGGGTATGTTTTTACTAATTCAAACACTATTATTTGTTGGCTTATTAATGATATGAAAATTGAGTTATACATGTATATGAATTGTTAACGATTTATAAAAATTTGTGTGTTTTGTAGATTAAAAACTTGACAACAGAGGCGG